TTTTATACTTCATCTAATACAGATAAAAAAAATCGAACATTTATATCCAATTTTATGAGAAATCATAAATTCCGTATTCATCCAAGGTTTCTGGCTGAAGGAATTATTTAGCTATAGCAAGTTGTAAAGAATCGCTGACTTGTGATGCTTTGCGGGTAAAGTACCAGAAGGGGTTCGTAGAAATATATCATCTTCACAGCAGATCCTGTGTTAGCAAAAATATTTGGATGTGTGGAATTTCAAGAGAGTCGGATGTTTGTTACACTTTTTACGAGAGATATAATTAATTACAATTTTGAATCGTTGTGGGGGAGGTACAAGAAGGTGTTGTGCGATATATTTCATCTTCACACCAGATCTTTTGTTAGTAGAAATATTGAGATGTGTGAAGTTTGAAGAGAATCGGATGTTTATTTCGCATTTTAACTATTCAAAATGTTGACTCGTTGAGGGGAATGTTCAGGAAGGTGTGTTCCAATCTCTACCATCTTTATGACAGATCTTGTGTTGATGGAAATATTTAGATGTACCAAGTCTGAATGGAATCGGATGTTAATTGTGCGTTTTAAGAGCTTCATGGATATTCAAAATTTTGACCCTTTGTGGGGGAGGTATCAGAAGGAGTGGACCGATATATTACATCTTCACACCAGACCTTGGGTTAATAAAAATATTGTAATTAGTGTAATTTGAAGAGATCCAAATGCTTATTTCGGATTTATTAATCGTGTTTGTTACTCGAAACTTTGACCCTTTGTGGAGGAGGTACCAGAAGAAATGGTCCGATCTCTACCATCTTTATAACAGATCTTGTGTTGATGGAAATATTGATATGTACCAAGTCTGAATGGAATCGGACGTTAAGTTCGTGATTTATGAGCTTCATGGATATTCAAAATTTTGACCCTATGTGGGGGAGTGGACCGACAAATCCCATCTTCACAACAGATCTTTTGTTAGTGGAAATAATGGGATGTGTGAAATATAAAGAGAATCTGATGCTTAATTGGGATTTTATAAACGTTTTGGTTATTCGAAACTTTGACCCTTTGTGGAGGAGGTACCAGAAGAAATGATCCGATCTCTACCATCTTTATAAAGATCTTGGGTTGATGGAAATATTGAGATGTACCAAGTTTGAATGGACGGACGTTAAGTTCGTGATTTATGAGCTTCATGAATATTCAAAATTTTGACTCTTTGAGGGGGAGGTACCAGAAGGAATTGATCGATATATTCCATCTTCACACTAGACCTTGGGTTAATAAAAATATTGTGATGAGTGTCATTTGAAGAGATCCAAATGCTTATTTTGGATTTATTAATCGTTTTTGTTACTCGAAACTTTAACCCTTTGTGGGGAAGGTATCAGAAGAAATGGTCCGATCTCTACCATTTTTATAACAAATATTCAAAATTTCGATCCTTTGTGGGGGAGATACTTGATGGAGTTGACCAATATTGTCCATTTTCGCACTTGACCTAGCATTGATGCAAATATTAAGATATGCAAAGTTGGAGCAAAATCGGATTACGCTTTCTCTTTCTGTGCAGTAAATAATTTTCCTTGAAAATGTTGACATTTTGTGGGGGAGGCACCAGAACGAGTGGACCGATATTTCCCATCTCCGAATTCAATCTAAGTTTGACAAAAATAGTATGATGTACCAAGTTTGTTATCGTGCGCCCCAGCCAGGCAGACTGACGGACAGACATCGCTAAATCGACTCCAAATGTCCTGAGACGGATTTGGTCCAAAGAGACCTAGGGTCTAAAATTGTTATTTCGATGAGGCACGTTTTGGCCGTACCAAATGATATATACCCTCTGTAGCCATATGACTGAGGATATAAAAACCATTCTTAAGCTCGTTTGAATTTGATCGGGAACACTCTGATGTTGTCACTTTTCAAGTGGGTGTTAAATGCGCTCGAAATCGAGCAGTTTCAAGTATTGTCGAGTGTTCTTTTAAGTTCCAACAACAACGAAACATATCACTTTGTCCTTTATCCTCTGGCCATTGCTTTAGCTGTATTTCTCTTGTATGTTTTGTAAACGGGATCCCTCCAAATGTCTACTTAACTAACTCTAATTAATAAAAATTGTCGAACAGGAGAAAATCGTAAGCGAGAGAGAGAGTAAACTTCGTAAAAAATTTGCACCCATCGATCACTCCCCCTAGCGAGCTCGTTTCACTCCCAAGTAAAAATGAGCAAGTCTGAGTTATATTTGGATTTATCAGCAATTCAATGTTTTAGTGTTGTATTCTCTTTCATAAGGTCCCTACCGTTATGGAACTGATTGTGTGAAATACTATGACTTGCAAAATTCACATTTTGAGCGCAGTAAACGTTGGGCCCCAGATTTTTATGACATTCTTTAAGGTTTTACATTTATTTAATACGAATACATCTTTTGACTATTAGGTATAACAATCAATATAAAAGAAGACAATTCTTTTCGTAGAAACATTAAAAAATTTGAAACTTTTGAATAAAAATTAAAATATTCAATTGCCTTCATATTAAACATTCTTCATATGTATAGAAAATTGATTTGATTTATTTTTGTTTTATAATTTTATGGATGTAAAAATGTCACACGAAGCTAATTAAACCAATTTTTCGTCTTCATCAAGTTTTTACAACGCCTCTAAAAGGTCTCTTTTATGATTGTTTTTTGGTTTTCGAAGCATCGAAAAACAAGTTAAAAAGCAGTAAGTTCGGCCAGGCCGAACTTTGAATACACTCCATCACTTGGAACGAATTTGGAAATAAAATCCTTAGAAAATTCGGTTAAAATTTTGAAAATACCATTATATTGGTGTCTATACGACGTGGACTCACACAGGCATTGTTTGTCATAAGTCATTACCAAATTCAAATTCGAAACTTGAAATAAACGGTGAATAATGTAGCTAAAATCATCAAAATATCGTATATAGGGAGGTACCGTTATATGGGGGCTATACGAAGGCGTGGACCTGCACAGACAATTTTCTGTCACAGGCTGTAGGATTTATTACGAACTTCAAATACGACATTTCAAACAATTTCGGTGAGTATTATACCTAAATTCGTCAAAATACCGAATATAGGGAGATACTGGTATATGGGGCCTATACGAAGACCTGGACCTGCATGGACAATTCTCTCTCACAGACTGTAGTTCCCATTACGAACTCTAAATGCGTAATTTGAATAACCGGTAAATAATGACGCTAAAATCACCGAAATACCGAATATAGGGAGGTAACGTTATATGGGGGCTTTACAAAGACGTGGACCTGCACAGACAATTTACTGTCTTAGGCTGTGGTATCCATTTGGAACTTCAAATGCCAAATTTGAAACAATTCCGGTGAATAATGTCGCTAAAATCATCAAAATACCGAATATCGGGAGGTACCGTAATATGGGGGCTATACCAAGACGTGGACCGGCACAGATAGTTTTCTGTCTCAGGCTGTAGTATCCATTTCGAACTTCAAATACCAAATTTGAAACAATTCCGGTGAATTATGTCGCTAAAATCATCAAAATATCGAATATCGGGAGGTATCGTTATATGGGGGCTATACGAAGACGTGGACCTGCATAGACAATTGTCTGCCTTAGGCTGTAGTATCCATTTGGAACTTGAAATGCCAAATTTTAAACAATTCCGGTTAATAATGTCGCTAAAATCATCAAAATATCGAATATAGGGAGGTACCGTTATATGGGGGCTATACGAAGACGTGGACCTGCACAGACAATTTTCTGCCTTAACTTCATTCGAACTTCAAATACCAAATTTGAAACAATTCCGGTGAATAATATCGCTAAAATCATCAAAATACCGAATATCTGGAGGTACCGTTATATTGGGGCTATACGAAGACGTGGACCTGCACAGAAAATTTTCTGTCATAGGCTGTAGTATCCATTACGAACTTCAAATACCAAATTTTAAACAATTCCGGCGAATAATGTCGCTAAAATCATAAAAATATCGAATATCGGGAGGTACCGTTATATGGGGGCTATACGAAGACGTGAACCTGCATGGCCCATTTACGGACTTAACCTGCCTACTGGAAAAATAAACATGTGTGCAAAATTTTAGCCTTCTATCTCAATTCATTTGAAAGATATCGTGATTACAACAGACACACAGACGGACATGGCTAAATCGTCTTAGAATTTTACGCTGATCAAGAATATATATACTTTGTTGGGTCTGACATGAGTATTTCGAGGAGTTACAAACGGAATGCCAAAATTAATATACCCTCTATAGTATGGTGGAGGGTATAAAAAATATATAAAATTAGGGGGCGAGAACAGTCTGGTTATCGTTCGGTGGCCGTTGACTAGCTTCGCCAATTATCTTCTTATTTTTTTGGATAAAAGCGATTACGTTTTGACTTCTTTTTCGGGGTTTAACGTCGACGTAGATGTCGACGTCTTCGCCGGCGGCGCACGTGTTTGTGGTTTACCTTCATCGTTCGTTATTTGTTTGTCGTTGTAATTGTAGTTTCTCTCTTTGCTTCCCTACATTCTAGTTTCGTTACTGTTGTTGTTGTTGCTGCTGCTATTATTAATTTTTACAAAGAAGTATGGCTAATCGATATTTGAGATGTTTTTTTTTTTCTTTGTTTGTTTGTTTATTTTTTTCAGTTCTTTTTTTGTTGCTCACATTTGTTGGTAGAATAGGAGGTTGTGTGAAATAGATGTTGTTTTATATCGTCCGATTTATGGGTAAATCAACGGCGCTGTTTTGTTTACATTTTCTATTTAAATTCGTAATGGTGGCCTAAAGAGCCAAAGAAAGTTATAACGAATAACCAAATTAGTTGAGAGTGTCTTTATATATTTATATACGAATTTATATATGTATATTTCGGAATATGTTAATATTTGATATATTTTTTCTTTTTTCTATTGATTTAAATTATATTTTTATCGACCAGTTTATATATTTCAATTTACTTAAATATTTTTTTCTTTTTTTTACAGATTTTTTTGACAAAAATTGATTGCCGGAATTATTTTCGCTAAAAATAAGGGTAAGTAATTTTGGAAATAAATTGGCTAAAATATACACAAAACTACGTATCTATCGTACCTATAATTCAGTTGAATGTTTGATAGGTACACGCGTTGATTTTTTTAAACAAATAAAATAGTATCAGTCGCCTGACAGATTTATACCCCCAGCCTTGAGTTGTGATTATTCAAACTGTTGACGTTTTATGGGGGACTTTCCGAAGCAGCAGGCCAATATTGACTTATTAGTATCTGACCTAAGACTGATAAAAATATTGCAACGCGGCAGATTTGGACTATATCGAAGTAGTCGAGGTGCAAATTTTTGAAAAATTTGGAAATATGCGTGAGGACCGAAGTATTCCATTTTCATACTTTATCTAATCCAGATAAAAGTATTGGTATGGGCAAAATTACAAGAAAATCGATATTTATATCTAATTTTATGCGAAATCATAAATTCTGCTAAATTCATATCAGATTTTTGGTTAAGAGAAATATTTTCTATGGATATAGGGTCTTCTATAAATAGAAGAATAGGGTCTTCTACACATTGAAGACTTGTTGAGCGTCTTCAATACTTCAAAGACTTCTTGCGGGTCTTCTATTCATAGAAGACTTCTTGAGGGTCTTCTATACATTGAAGACTTGTTGAGGGTTCAATCAATACATCGAGGACTTCATGAGGGTCCTATATCCAAGTTGTAAAGAATCGCCGACTTGTTTTGCAAGTCTTTGTGGGTGGGGAACCAAAAGGGGTCCGCTGATATATATCATCTTCACAATAGATCCTGCGTTAGCAAAAATATTTGGATGTGTGAAATTTGAAGAGAGAGTTGGATGCTTATTTCGCCCCCTTTGAACATTTTTTTTTTCAAAATCTTGAACTCTTTGTGGAGGAGATACCAGAAGAAATTGTCCGACATCTACCATCCTTATAACAGATCTTGTGTTGATTGAAATACTGATATGTAACCAAGTCGGAATGAAATCGGATGTTAATTTTGCGTTTTATGAGCTTCATGGATACTCAAAATTTTGACCCTTTGTGGGAGAGGTACCAGAAGGAGTGGACCGATATATTCCATCTTCACACCAGATCTTGAGTTAGTCGAAATAATGGGACTTGTGTAATATGAAGAGAACCGGATGTTTATTTCGGACTCTTTGCTCGTTTTGATTATTCAAAACATAGGTGCTTTGTGTGGGAGGTACCAGAAGGAATGGTCCGAGCTCTACCATCTTTATAACAGATCTTGCGTTTATGAAAATATTGAGATGTACCAAGTCTGAATGAAATCGGATGTTAAGTAAGTGTTTTAAGAGCTTGATGGATATTCCAAATTTCGAAATTTTGTGGGGGAGGTACTTGATGGAGTGGACCGATATAATCCATTTTTGCACCTGACCTAGAACTGACGTAAATATCAGGATTTGTAAAGTGAGAACAAAATTGGATTATCGATTATCTTTCTGTGCAGAAAATATATATATTTTTTGAAAGTATCGATCATTTGTGTGGGTGGTACCAGAAGGAGTGGACCGATATATTCCATCTTAGCACCAGACCTTGGGTTAATATAAATATTGGCATGTGTAAAATTTGAAGACAGTCGGACTCTTACATCACATTTTATGAGAGTTGAATTTATTTAAAATTTTAACCATTTGTGAGGGAGGTACTTGATGGAGTAGACCGATATTGTCGATTTTCACACTTGACCTAGCATTGACGCAAATATTAAGATTTGCAAAGTTGGAGCAAAATCGGATTATCGTTTCTCTTTCTGTGCAAAAAATATATGTTTTGAAAATTTCGACCTTTTGTGGTGGAGGTACCAGAAGTAGTGGAACGATAATGCCCATCTCCGAACTCGATCTAAGTTTGATAATATCATTACGATGTACCACGTTTTAGCCAAATCAGAGACTACCCTAGAGAGTTATCGTGCGCACGAGCCAGTCAGACAGACGGACGGACATCACTAGATTGACTCAAAATGTTGTGAAACGGATTTGGTCCAAAGAGATCTAGGGTCTAAGACCTTTATTTCGACTAGGCACATTTTGGCCGTATATTGGCCATATGGCTGAGGGTATATTAAACGCAAATATGTTTCCTAATTTTTTGATAAATTTTTTTCTAGGCCTCCCTTCGAATTGATGCATGGCATCGACATAAAATTTCGATTAAAGCAGGAAGTGTCAAAATAAAAAAAAAAATTAAATAAAATTAATGTGTATTTCGATTAATACCGAGGAAAAAAATATATATATACCCTCTGTAGCCATATAACGGCCCCATAGGAAGACCCTGATTCCCATAGATAAAATAAATACAATAATTAAAATATCGGATATCGAGGGGTACCGTTATATGGGGCTATACGAAGACGTGGACCCACATAGCTCATTTTCTGCCTTAGGCTGTAGTATCCATTACGAACTTCAAATACCAAAATTGAAACAATTCCGGTGAATAACGTCGCTAAAATCATCAAAATACAGACTATCGGGAGGTACCGTTATATGGGGGCTATACGAAGACGTGGACCTTCATGGCCCATTTTCAATACCAAAAGTCCTGCAGACATAATACACATTTGAGTAAATTTTTATCAACTTACTTTATTTTGTTCGGTAGCTAGAGTGATTTCCACAGACGGGCAGACGGACGGACATTGATAAATCGACATAGAATTTTATGCTGATCAAGAATATATATACTAGAACTTATATTTCTAGGTGTTACGGAATGACAACCTTAATATACCCTCCATACTATGATGGAGGGTATAAAAACAAAACATCGTCCCTTTGTCCTCACACAATTTTAATGTCCTGCTAACATGCTTCTCTCACATTTACTACCAAAACATACATCCGCATACAATACTAATAAATTAATCATTTTCATATTTTCTCCACATGTTTCATTTAGGTCTCTGTTCGTACTCCTCCTTGCGTTCCATACCAAAAGTAAACCAACAACCAAAAACAAAAAAATATTTAATCAAAATTTGAAATCATAAACAAATCCGGCCATCACAGAAACGCCAAGCAGGCAATCAAGCTATCATTGGGTATCGAAGTCATTGGTGGCGGCAATCCAACACAGAGCTGGGAGGCACAAAAAGAGACGAGTACGCACGAACCAACCACCCACCAACCACCACCTCACATTATAACCACCATCAACAACAACAGCAAATAAAAAAACAACACCTCAGAAAAAAATCAACAACAACCACTAGCACCCACCATCCATTAACCAATCCATCCATGTTCTAATTGGCAAACAAGTTAAAAGAGAAAAAAAAAAAACAAGCCCCGACTGTCATATCCGAATCCCAAAAGCAACAACCATCATCCAACAGAACAGGACAGAACAGATCATCAACGAATATTTCTGGTGGTCAGTTAACTAACCACAAATAGACTACGACTTTCCATCTCAATGTTCCTCTTTGGTTTCGACACATAAAATATGCGGATGTAACGAAGTTATCATTCCAAGCGTGCGTACGTGTGTGTGTGCGCCACAAATGTTACAGAGGAGCGAAGGATCATCAATTGACTCCTTAAATCTGGGTTATAATTAGACGACATACATTAAAAAATATATATATAAAAGAAATCTGAAGGATAATTAATAGGAGAGACAAGTAACCTCATACTCCCATAAACATTTGTTGTAGTGGTGATTGAGGGAGGAGGAGGAGTCATAAAGCCTGACGCCTATTGTGACAACAAGTTTCTATTTTGTGTACATTGTTTCTGCAACGTCTAAGCGACGTTTCACAATTTCCCCACCATGAATCTGTGGAAACGCATAGCATGCAATCCGGAAATCAAGCAATCCATGATACAGTACTACGACGAAAAGGGCTTGGCCGATATACGCGTCTATCTGGCACCATGGATTGAGGAAAGGATAATGTAAGTATATGCGCATACAACATTTTTTTTTTTGGAGATTGAATAATTTGTGTTCTTCTTCTTTGATTTAGTTTTGAGATGGTTGTTGTTGTGGTCTACGGGATGGAATAGGTTGCTCCTTGGCGATATAAAGATATTGAGCAAAGGAGTGGGACAATTTTCATCACAAAATTATGCAGAAGTTGAAAAAGTTGATTCCAAGTTAAATGTTTTCAAGCGGTCCTCCATCTCCATGCATCTCAATGTATCTTTCTTTAATGGAAATCTATTAAAAAAATCTTCAAAACAAAGAGGAAATCTTCAACAAGAAAAGGAAACCCTTTAATTTACCTTTACTAAGTCTACAATTTTCAACAGAAAGTTATTCAGAAGTTGAAAAATTGATTCCAAGTTAAATGCTTTCAAGCAGCCCTCTATCTCCATGCATCTCAATGTATCTTTCTTGGATGGAAATCTATTAAAAAAATCTTCAAAAAAAAAAAGGAGAAATCTTCAAAAAGAAATGGAAAACCTGCAATTTACCTTTACTAAGTCATCTGTATACAGAAGATCTTAAACGAGTATTTTGAGGGTAAATCTCCCATAAAGGACATCTTTTAGGAAAACTTTGAAAGAAGGCTCCCAAATGTCCTTCATAGACAGACTATAAAAATGTCCTCCATTGATAGAACCGCTTTAATGGATCTTTCTCGGATAAAAATTGAAGATTTTACGTCTTTTGGGTAGAAAGAAGATCTGTAGTTTGCTATGACTAGCTCCGCCATATACAGAAGGCCCTAAAACGGCGTAGCCATAAAGCACATCTTTAAGAAAACCTTTGAAAGAAGCCTCTCAAATGTCCTCCGTAGGCAGAATTCAAAATGAAATGATCTATTGATAGTATCGTTTTTATGGATCTTTCTTGGATGAAAATCCTTCCACTTCAACACGAAAATCATCATTTTTTTTATCTTTTGTATAGAAAGGAGAACTCTAATTTGCTATGCCTAGCTCTGCTATATAGAGAAGGTCTTAAAACGATGTTTCGAATCATGTATACCAGAAGGAGTCGACTGATATATCCGATCTTCACACCAGACCTTGAATTAATTAAAATATTCTGATGGGGGTAATTTGAAGAGAACCGGATGCATATTTCTGATTTTATGATTGTTTTGGTTATTCATAACTTTGATCCTGTGTGGGGGAGGTACTTAATGTAGTGGACCGATATTGTCCATTTTCGCACCTGAACTAGCACTGACGTAAATATTGAAATTTGCAAAGTTGGAGAAAAATCGGATTATGCTTTCACATTCTGTGGAGCTAAATATTATTATTAATACGATGTTTCGAATGGAAATTTCACAAAGGACTTCTTTTAGAAAACTTTCGAAAGAAGATCCCCAAAACTTATTTTAATATTAAACAAGTTAAAAAGCAGTAAGTTCGGAACTTTGAATACCCTCCACCATTTGGAACGAATTTGGAGATTTCCAAAAAATAAAATCCTTAAAAAATTCTGTTAACATTTTAAAAATACCGTAGACCAACAAAGGTATTTTTTTCTGTCATAAGCCACTACCATATTCAAATTCGAAACAAGAAATAAACGGTGAATAATGTAGCTAAAATCATCAAAATATCGTATATAAGGAGGTACCGTTATATCGGAGCTGTGCGAAGAGCTGGACCAGCATAGACAATTTTCTGTCACAGGCTGTTGCATCCATTACGAACTTGAAATATGACATCTCAAACAATTTCGGTGGAAATTGTACCTAAACTCGACATACGCGTACTACAAAATACCGAAAATAGGGAGGTACTGATATATGGGGCCTATACGAAGACCTGGATCTGCATAGACAATTTTTTGTCACAAACTGTTGTTCCCATTACGAGCTCTAAATACGTAATTTGAAACGATTCCGGTGAATAATGACGCTAAAATCATCAAAATACCGAATATTGGGAGGTACCGTTATATACGAAGACGTGGACCTGCACAGACAATTTTTTGTCATAGGCTGTAGTATCCATTACGAACTTCAAATACCAAATTTGAAACAATTTCGGTTAATAATGTCGCTAAGATCAGCAAAATACCGAATATTGGGAGGTACCGTTGTATGGGGGCTATACGAAGACGTGGACCGGCACAGACAATTTTCTGTCTTAGGCGGTAGTATCCATTTCGAACTTCAAATGCCAAATTTGAAACAATTCCAGTAAATAATGTCGCTAAAATCATAAAAAATACCGAATATCGGGAGGTACTGTTATATGGGGGCTATTTGAAAACGTGGACGACCTACATAGCCCATTTACTAACTTAACCTCCCTACCGGAAAATGTCTGCAAAATTTTAGCCTTCTATCTCAATTCGTTCGAAAGATAGCGTGGTTACAACAGACAGACAGACAGACAGACAGGCGGACATGGCTAAATAGAGTTAGAATGGATCGTCCATGGATATATCTTATTTAGAAGTCCTTTTAATTTCCTCATTAAATTCACAGTCTTTAATTCGCAGCCACAATTTCCCCTCATCACTGGGCATTAGTTGTTCCTGACAAATAGTTAAAGCCCTGAAGCCTATGCAATGAAAAGCTGGCTGAATGACTGACTGACTGATTGAATGCAATGCAATGCAATGCCATGGATTGGTTGCAATAATCCTTTGTCTTTGTTCACCGTAAATCCTTTCTGGTGAATGCATTCTTCTGTTCGTCAGCTTGAACATTTTGTTGTTATTGAAAGAGTTTTTTTTTTTTTTTTTAATGGTATGCATTGGCCACTGAAGCCCAGCAGCAGTAAAAGCAACAGCAACTATTGAACATTGTTGTTTTTGGAAATTTCTGATGTGATACGATTTCTTCCATTTTCCCTACCTTCCATTTGCGATTCATTGAAAAGGCTTAAGATTTAATGTGAAAAAGTCCTTCCAAAGAAAATACATTGAAGGGGCTTCGACTTATTACTATTATTTATGCAAATCTCCATTTCTGTTTATATTCATATTATTGAATGGATTTTAATGATAATTATGCGCGAGGAAGTCTTAGAAGTTTGAATATTTAATTTTTCGACTGGGAATTGCGTTGAAAAAAAAGACGGAGATAACGAACAAGTTTTTACACCGAGCTTTTTATATTCTCCCCTTCTGATTTTCCAGTGCATTTGCCCCCCTCCCCATTTCGAATGGATTTAAATTGCTTTCCGTTTTCAAACTTGTCAGGCTTTTCAATGCATTATTATATTTAAAATTATTGCGAATATTTACTAAAATGTTTTCGCTCTTAAAATACTTCCTTCGGCGAGGGATGAGATATAGTAACAAAGAGTTACAAGCGCAGTTGAAAAATCCATTATATTTGTATACCCTCAGCCACATGGCTAGAGAGGGTATACCTTCGGCCAAAACGTGCCTAATCGAAACAACGATTTTAGACTCTAGGTCTCTTTAGACCAAATCCGTTTTAGGGCATTTGGAGTTGATCTAGTGATGTCCGTCCGTTCGTCTGTCTGGCTGGTACGTACGATAACTCTCAAAGGGCGTATCCGATGTGGTCCAAACTTGGTACATCGTAATATTATTATCAATCTTAGATCGAGTTCGGAGATGGGCAATATCGGTCCACTCCTTCTGGCACCTCTCTCACAAAAGGTCAACTTTTTCAAAGAACATATTTTACTGCACAAAAGGAAAAAGGATAATTCGACTTTGCTTCAACTTTGCAAATCCTAATATTTGCATCAGTGCTAGGTTAGGTGCGAAAATGGACAATATCGGTCCACTCCATCAATTATCTCCCCCCAAAAGGGGGAATAATTATAACTCTTATAAAATTTGGTGTAAGAGTCCTATTGTCTTCAACATCACAATTTTTTATTAATCCAAGATCTGGTGTGAACATGGAATATATAGGGCCACTCCTTCAGGTACCTCCCCCCCAAAGGGTCCAAATTTTGAATACCCATGATGCTCATAAAACGTAAAATTAACATCCGATTCCATTCGGACTTGGTATATCTTAATATTTCCATCAGCCTAAGATCTGTTGTAAAGATGGTAGAGATCGGATTATTCCTTCTGGTACCTCCCCCACAAAGGGTCAAAGTTTTAAAAAACTAAAACGCTGATAAAAACCGAAAAAAGCATCCTGATCTCTTCATATTTCACACACCCCACTATCTCTTCTAACACAAGATCTGCTGTGAAAATGGAATATATCGGTTAACCCCTTCTGGTACCTCCCCACAACGGGTCAACATTTGTAATATCCATGCAGCTTCTAAAACCCGAAATTAAAATCCGATTCCATTTGAACTTGGGAAATCTCAATATTTCCATCAACACAAGATCTGTTATAAAGATGGTAGAGATCGGATTATTTCTTCTGGTACCTCCCCCCATAAAGGGTCAAAACGAAATAAGTATCCGGTTCTCTTCATATTTCACACATGCCATTATTTTTAATGACGCAAGATCTGCTGTGAAGAAGGGATATATCGGTCCTCCTCGTGATACCTCCCTCACAAAGGATAAACATTTTGAAAAATCCGATTCTCAATATTTCTCTCAACACAAAATCTTTTATAAAGATGGTAGAGATCCGATCACTTCTTCTGGCACCTTCCCCAAAAAGAGTCAAAATTTTGAATAACCAAAACTATCATAAAATCCAAAATCCGGTTCTCATCAAATTTCCCACATGTCAAAAATTTTACTAAAACAATATCTGCTGTGAAAAAGAGATATATCGGAGTACTTCTTCTGGTACTTCCCCACAAAGAGTTCAAAATTTTGAATAACAAAACGCTCATAAAACCCCTCCAACTCTCTTCAAATTTTACAAATCTATCGCACAATCTTTTGTGAAGATTATAGATATTTGTCAACCGGTTCTGGTACCTCAACCACAGAGAGTCACAATTTCCAATACTTAGATCTGTCCTAACATGCGAAACAAGTCGGCGATTCTATACAACTTGCTATATCTAAATATTTCCCTTAGCCAACAATCTGATATGAATATGAAATTAATCGAATTGGACAATATTGGCCAACTGCTTCGGAACCTCCCCCATAAAGGGTCAACATTTACATAAATCATTACTCTAGGCTGGGGACGTCAGAAGTATGTCGGCAAAACCGACCGATACATTTTTTTGTTTTGTAATTATCGAAAATAAATCTAATCTCACCTCTCTTTCCTCTCTCCCCACACAGGTCCGAACTCATCCACAACACAACATCAACGGAACTGTACGAACGTGATGCCCATCAGTTCTATGAGGATCTAAAACAGAAACTCATTCCGCTCAGCAACGATAATTTAATCAAATTTAAACTTGCCGAAATTTGCACTAGCATCACTCAAACACCAGCCGTGGAGTTGTATACGCACATACGTACCGGCGTCCAACGTGAAATACAGCTGTTGGACCAAATGCCTCAGTATTCGTATGTGGGCGGTGTGCCGGTCAATGGTACGGCTGTGGGCACACCCGGCATGTTAGGCGGTGGCGGCACCATTCCCGGCATGCACACACCCACCATGGTCACAAGCGGTAATGGTGGTGGTGGCGGCACCTATCCCGGCGATACCCTATATGCGGCTCACAGTTCCATACCCAAGTTGGGCATGTGTATCAATACGATTTTTGCCGAAATACAACAATTTGCCCGCAACTATGAGGGATTCCACAACAGTTTCACCAGCTATAATCAGCGTAAACAACACATGACCCAACAGGAAATTCAGCTGCATGATTTGCAGTTGCAGGAACAATGCCGCATTTTGGCCAGCACTCGTAGCAGCATTTTACAGGACATCAAGCGGGTCATCTTCGATTATGACTCCATACAGGAGACGGTCATAAATGAGTTGAAAAATTGGCAACGTAACCAGGCGCTGGCCGGTAATGGGGCACCATTCCGCGACAATTTGGATGACATACAACGCTGCATTGAGCTGCTGGTCGAGATGGTGGGCAAGATATTGGATAATGTCAATACCATGAATCAAATACGTTTGGATAACAACGATGAAATAAGTGACATAATTGCCCATGTACGACAGTCGCAGCAGCTGCTGGTGCTGTCATCGTTCATTGTTGAGAAACAACCGCCACAGGTTATGAAAACCAATACCAGGTGAGTGAGTTTTCGGAATGAATTCAAATATTAACAACTAATTATGCGTAATAATGTTGTTAATTAATGTGGGGAGGGGAGGGAAGGGAGGGTGGAGTGATGTGAAAAGCAGATTCATGGACATGTGTCTATCGGTGTGACCATTAGAATACATCGATGTGCTATGTGTGTGTGTGTGTGTGTAGCATGCCATGATGCTGCTTATCACTTGCGTTCGTTCGATTGCAATGATTGATATGTAGTTCTACTAATTGGTTTTACATTTCACATTTTCCAGATTTGCTGCCGGTGTACGATGGTTGATTGGACCACAATTGGGCATCAGTGTTAATGGTCCTCAAGTGGAGTGCATAATTCTATCAGGTATGTATAACAACAATTACACTTGAACAATAGCTGATAAATTTCCCCCAACCCCCACCCCATTGTAATTTCAAATGAAATGTGTGTGTGCGGATATCGTTTATCATCCAATGGGTTATGGTTATAATAATAATGACGTTGATAAATGCGATTGTATTTTGTGAAATAGGAACTCTTAATATCCTTAGGCATGCGGCTAGAGAGGTTATATATGATATATTTGATACGGTCAAAACGTACCTCATCGAAATTACGGTTTTAGACTCTTGGTCTCTTTGGACCAAATCCTTTTTAGGACATTTGGAGTCGATCTAGTGGAGTGGACCGATATTGTCCATTTTTCACACCTGACCTAGCACTGACGCAAATATTAGGATTTGCTAAGTTGGAGCAAAATAGAGTTTTAATTATTCAAAATTTTGACCATTTGTGGGGGAGGTACTTGATGGAGTGGACCGATATTGTTCATTTTCACACCCGACCTAGCACTGATGCAAATATTAGGATTTGTAAAGTTGGAGCAAAATCGGATCTTTCTTTCTCTTTCTGTGCAAAAAAAAAATATATTTTGAACTTTCGACCTTTTATGAGGGAGTTACCAGAAGGAGCGGACCGATATTGTCCATCTTAACACCAGACCTTGGGTTAGTATAAATAATGGGATGTGTGAAATTTGAAGATCTCTCTCTCTCTCTCTCTCTCTCTCTCTCTCTCAGACTCTTTCATCACATTTTATGAGAATTGTAATTATTACCCGAAGGAGTGGACCGATATTATCCATTTTCGCACTTGACCTAGCGCTAATGGAAATATTAGGATTTGCAAAGTTGGAGCAAAATCTAATCATTCTTTCTCTTTTTTTGCAATAAAATATTTTCCTTGAATATCTCAAATTTTTGGGGGGAGGTACTAGAAGGAGTGGACCGATATTGCCCATCTCCGAACTCGATCTAAGTTTGAAAAAAATATTGCTATGTACCAAGTTTGGACCAAATCGAATGCTTTCTTCAAGAGTTATCGTGCGCACCAGCCAGGCAGACCAAAGAGACCTAGGGTCTAAAACCGTTATTTCTACTAGGCACGTTTTGACCATATCAAATTGTATATACCCTCAGTAGCCAAATGGCTGAGGGTATAAATATTCTCTGAAAACCCACGTCTTGTAGGATCTTCAAAAATATTCCTTAAAAACCCACGTCTTGTAGGATCTTCAAAAATATTCCTTAAAAACCCACGTCTTGTAGCCTCTTCAAAAATATTCCTTAAAAATCCACGTCTTGTAGGATCTTCAAAAATATTCTTCGAAAATTCACGTCTTGTAGGATCTTCAAAAATATTCTTTGAACACCCACGTCTTGTAGGCTCTTCAACAATACTCTTTGAAAACACACGACTTGTAGGCTCTTCAAAAGTATTCTTTGAAAATCCACGTCTTAAAGGCTCTTCAAAAGTATTCTTTGAAAATCCACGTCTTAAAGGCTCTTCAAAAAATATTTTTAAAAAATCCACGTCTTTTAGGCTCTTCAAAAATATTCTTTGAACACCCACGTCTTGTAGGCTCTTCAAAAATATTCTTTAAAAACCCACGTCTTGTAGGCTCTTCAAAAATATTGTTTGAAAACCCACGTCTTGTAGGCTCTTCAAAAATATTCCTTAAAAACCCACGTCTTGTAGCCTCTTCAAAAATATTCTTTGAAAACCCTCGTCTTGTAGGCTCTTCAAAAATATTCTTTAAAAATCCACGTTCCGAAGACACTTCAAAAAATATTCTTTTTTAAAAATCTACGTCTCGAAGGCTCTTCAGAAAATATTTTTTAAAAATTCCACCTATTGGAGGCTCTTTAAAAATTCCCGCCTCGAAAGCTCTCTCTCACTGTGTAGGGAGAGGTAAAGAGAGACTTTCAATATTTTTTTTTTCAAAACACATATAATCACAAAATAATTTTGAATTTTTCTGCCTGATGTCCTGATGTAAAACCAATTAAGTTTATAGTAGGTTTGGTAGACAAATCATTATGCGCTGGCAAATTTCACGTGTGCTAAAGTAATCTGAAGGAAGTTTTTGCATGGTCCCTTTCATACTCTACTCTGAGATTATTTTTCTATGATAACCTGGTCACTTTTTTCTAGACTCTTTTTGCAATGCCAATTATTAATCAATGTCTTACGATGACAAAACAGTAACAATTATTGCACAATTTTTTCTTTGGTAATTCAATACATTACAGTTTCGATTGACAAAAAAGAAACAATTGTGTTTTTTTTCGGTGAGAATCGACCGCCACTGGAAAGTGGTGTAACATGCACTGTAAAATATGTTTTCAGTATTTCAGTATTGTTCTCCTATTACAAAAAAGTACGACAACAATTCTTGACTTGGTTCCAATAATCCACTGACACTAGCTGTATAGTCATTTGTTAACAATAACAATAATTACAACAAATACCATTAAAACGTTTATTATTTATTTTTTTTTTTTGTGGATGTTTATTTATTTTGTTTTTATTATATCTAAGGTGTCACGTTTTATATATATTGTTGGTGACTTTCATAGCCCAAGTGTAATGCTATCGTTAGCTGATTAACTCCAAACAGCTGGGTTACAGTTTAGCATTGTTTGTTTTGTTGTTTTCAACTGAATTTTATTATACCCTCCACCATACTATGGAGGGTATATTAAGTTTGCCATTCCGTTTGTAACTCCTCGAAATACTCATGTCAGACCCAACCAAAAAACCCAAAATATACTTGATCAGCGAAAAATTCTAAGTCGATTTAGCGATGTCCGTCTGTCTGTTGTAATCACGCTATTTTTCGAACAAATTGAGATAGAAGGCTTTATATTTTTTATGTTTATTTTTCCAGTAGGCAGGTAAAGTTCGTAAATGGGCCATGTAGGTCCATGTTTTCAAATAGCCCCAATATAACGGTACCTCCCTATATTCGGTATTTTGATGATTTTAACGACATTATTCACCAGAATTGTTTCAAATTTGATATTTGAAGTTCGAAGTGGATACTACAACCTACGACAAAAAATTATCTGTACAGGTTCACGTCTTCGTATAGCCCCTATACAACGGTATCTCCCGATATTCGGTATTTTGATGATTTCCGCGACATTATTCACCGGAATTGTTTAAAATTTGGTATTTGAAGTTCAAAATGGATACTACAGCCTAAGACAGAAAATCATCTGCATAGGACCACGTCTTCGTATAGCCCCCATATAACGGTACATCCCCAAATTCGGTATTTTGATGATTCTAGCGGCATTATTGAACGGAATTGTTTAAAATTAGGTATTTGAAGTTCGTAATGGTTACTACAGCCTAACACAGAAAATTGTCTGTGCAGGTCTACGTCTTCGTATAGCCCCCATATAGCGGCACCTGTCAATATTCGGTATTTTGATGATTTTAGCGACATTATTCACTGGAATTGTTTCAAATTTGGTATTTGAAGTACGAAATGGATACAACCGCCTAAGACAGAAAATTGTCTACGTCTGCAGGTCTACGTCTTCGTATAGCCCCCATATAACGGTACATCCCAAAATTCGGTATTTTGATAATTTTTGCGTCATTATTCACTGGAATTGTTTCAAATTACATATTTAAAATTCCTAATGGGAACTACAATCTGTGACAGAAAATTTTCTATGCAGGTCCATGTCTTCGTATAGCGGTACCTCCCGATATTCGGTATTCTGATGATTTTAGCGACATTATTCACTGGAATTGTTTCAAATTTGGTATTTGAAGTTCGAAATGGATACTACGGCCTAAGACAGAAAATTGTCTACGTCTGCAGGTCTACGTCTTCGTATAGGCCCTATACAACGGTACCTCCCTATATTCGGTATTTTGATGATTTTTGCGTCATTATTCACCAGAATTGTTTAAAATTACGTATTTAGAGTTCGTTATGGGAACTACAGCCTATGACAAAAAATTGTCTATGCAGGCCCAGGTTTTCGTATAGGCCCCATATTTCCGTACCTCCCTATATTCGGTATTTTGATGAGTTTAGGTACAAAACCCACCGAAACTGTTTGAGATGTCGTATTTGAAGTTTGTAATGGATGCTACAGCCTGTGACAGAAAATTGTCTATGCTGGTCCAGGTCTTCGCACAGCTCCGATATAACGGTAGCTCCCTATATACGATATTTTGATGATTTTAGCTACATTATTCACCGTTTATTTCAAGTTTCGAATTTAAATATGGCAATGGCTTATGACAAACAATGCCTATGTAGTCGTAAAGACCCCAATATAACAGCTATATTCGGTATTTTTAAAATTAAATAAAAAATAAGGATTTTATTTTCCAAATTCGTTCGCTTTTTAACTTGTCATACTTCAAATGAAAATATATTGGTATGGGCAATATTACAAAAAAAAAAAAAAACAACAATAAAAAAATTTCGATAAATAAAATATTGATAGTGAGCAATTTGCCAACTTGTTTCACAAGTTATGGCAGATAGAGGTATTGAAAATATTGACCCTTTGTGGGTGAGGTAACAGAAGGGGCTCCCAATAATATATATCATCTCCATATGTGCAATTTGAAGAGAGTTGGATGTCTATTTTGCTTTCTTTGAGCGTTTTGTTTTTCAAAACGATGAACCCTATGTGGGGGAGGAGGTACCAGAAGAAATGGTGCGATCTCTACCATCTTTATCTTCATATTCTGTTTATGGAAATGTTGAGATATACCAAGTCTGAATGGAATCGGATGTGAATTTCACGTTTTTTTAACTTCATGGATATTCAAAATTTTGAGTGAACCGATATATCCCATCTTCTCAACAGATCTTGTTTTAGTAGAAATAATGATATGCATGAAATATGAAGAGAACCGGGTGCTTGTTTTGGTTATTCAAAACTTTGACCCCTTGTGGAGGAGGTTCCAGAACAAATGATTTTTCGATTTATACCATCGGACATATATGATGGAAATATTGAGGTGTGCCAAGCCTGAATGGAATCGGT